GCTTCTCTCGGCAAGTACACACTCTTCCCACAGAACGCACATTTCCACGACATTTATATGTTTTCGAGTTCACACGACAGAGTCGTTTTTAATTAACGGGAAGATTTAGTTTAATTTGCGTGTTATTTTAGTATAAATGTTAAAATTTAATTATATTCCGAGGATTTCTGGAGGTTTTTGCATAATTGAGGCAAGTATATCTATTTGGTATAACTAATGAATGGTCAATTTGAACTGTTTTATTCGTTTCTTTGTTTTTATTAACCTGAAAACGTACATGTGAGCCAAAAAGGTTGCTGAGGAAAAAATGACTCAACAAGACCGGATAACACAGAGAACGATGAGATAAACAGCAATTAGAATATATTTAATTGGTGTTTTATGGTTAAAGGAATTTTATGTATTTTGTTTTTTGTTTAAAGGGTCTTTGAAATATTTTCGTTGGATTGGGAAATAATTTTGTAATGTATTTTTGGGATATTATATTTCATATTTTTGATTTTATTATATATATAAAATAATATTTTTAAATTACTATAATTATATAAAAGTATTATAAATTAATTTAAGTATTAATTTTAACTAAGAAGTTATATAAAAAATATTATATGTTTAGTATTAAAAAATAGTTGGTTGTTTTGACAATCAAAATATAGTTTTTTATTAATTATTAATTTTAGTTTTACTTATAACTTTAAAAAAATCAAATGATATTTTTAAATATTTTCAAGAAAAAGGTACAGAAGCGAAAGTGGACCTGTAAAAATGAAAGTGAAATGTAAAAACAGGGGTTTAGTAGATAATAATAGCATTTTTTACACCAAAAATAACTTTTTTCACAAATTTCAAAAATGACAAAAGAAATGTGGAATGATTTGAATTGATATTTTTTAAAAAACCTAAATCAAACATTTTCAACTTAAAAATGGTTGATCTAAAATAATAAAAAATGAAAAAACTAGACAAAAAATTCAAGTGGTTTCTTCAGAAACAGCCCCTCATTTGTTTCGAAGTTAAATTTCAATGTTGATAGGAGTGCATTCTTGAGAATATTTCACGAGATGATTATATCAAAGCATTACCTACAGTTATCGACGGCACAACGACTGAAGAAAAGACTGACTGTAAAAATTCCTTCTTGTTTTGTGAAGAAGACGAGAAGTTCCTTACTGAGAAAGAAAGTCATCGATTAGTGGTCAATCAAAAATATTTGTCCGAGAACCTTAATGAATCTGTTCTTACTCCAAAACAATTCATTTATCGTTTATATTTGGAAACGAAATACGATGAGGATGTAAGGGTAAAAGTCAGACATTTCTTCTATAAAATACTTGCCACTGTAGAATTTGGTCTTGCGTTGGAGTCCAGGCAATTACAGGTTCATTTCATTACAACAAAAGTGGAAGAAATCAACAAAGACAATGGCAGGAGAGCACACATTATCAACTACATTGTTTTGTAAAACGTTTACAACATCTCACCAGGTGAGATATCAAGACTGAAACTCTGGGAGAGAAGTCTATTTGCAACTAAAAAACTCATGTTTTTTGTTTCTGAATTTCTTAATTGGAGAAGAAAGGTTCAATGAATAGTTAATTTAATTTTCAAAAATTTGTTTTTTATCAGATTGAAAATGGTCATTCAACAATTATGGACGAATTGAAAAAATAAACAAAAATTATTATAAAAAAAGAAATAATATTTTTAAATACTTATTTGTTAAGGGAACAAAATAGTGGTTTGATTCACAATTATGACCGTTAAAATAAATCATTTAAATTTATTATTTAAACTATATAATTATATATTGTTATTTTAACCCTTTACTAAACCCCGTTAAATTGTATTGAATTGGTGTTCTAAAGGAACCTTACCCATTGTAAGGCAGTATGGTCCACCAACCTCTAATATCGCGTTTATTACACAACTTTGAGAGTAAAAGCGTTCCCGTATTTGTAATTCCAAATTGACAAATCAACAATTTCCTCGAAAAAACATATAAGTTTGTTGTTCATGTTTCTCTGAAAAATAAATACTAACCTATAGGTTATTTATTTTATCATTTATATTTTAATATATTGTACATTGTTTAGTGTGTTTAATCTGATTACTCTGAGGTGATCCAATAATTTTGCTATGACAATAAAGAATATTTTTGATTTCTTCTCCTCACAATTGCAGCAAACCTTCGAACCGAAGTTAATAAACCTTTTGATTGGTCAGTTACAAGAGGCTTACAAGTGTATTTGTCTCGAGGGCTTGTTAATTATATTCAATTGTTTCTTTGTGTAGACAGCATCGAACATGGAGCTAGCTCAGTTTATTTTAATTTTCCTCTTTTTCCCTTTGTTTGGTTCAATTAAATATTAGCTTTTTATAATATTTCGAAAGTGTGAATTTAAATATAATTATTAATTAAAAAGCTATAAAAAGTTAAATATTAATAACAAATTTCGTCAAACTCTCAAAATATTGTCTTTTTTATCCTTGTTTTTTCGGCTATTTTTTGAAAAACAAAAACAAAAAGAAAGGGTTTTAATAATTGACCAATCAAAATTAAATTTTCGAAACCCTTGTTTTTACATTACACTTTCATTTTTACAGGTCCACTTTCACCCCCTGTACAGTCGAAATAGTCAACTTTTGATATTACTTTTATGAATGTGATATAATTTTAATAAATTGTTTGACATTTTTGATAGAAACGATGAATTAATTAAGACTTGAGAGTTATTTGAAAATTATGAGAATTTTTTTTATAAAAGTGACAAATAATCAAACTAAATGATGATTTATTGTAAAAAAATGTTGGGAATTAATTAAATTAAGTGATGTATTTTCTTGGAAATGATGTAATCAAAAATAAAGTGACTAACAATATTTGAAAAAAAAATTATATTTTCTATACACATGACAATTTTTATCGATATATAAACAATGTTAATTACAGAAACTTCCCGTTATTTTATACAGATGTGGTATTCACCCTTATGTGATACCTACAACCTTATGCGATTTTCTTAATATAAAAAGATTATAAATTTTTGTAAAAAAATCAATACTTATATTAAAAAAGGCAAATAACACAGTTTTATACTAAAAACAAAAAACTAAACTATGAGCCTTATGCGATTACAAAAATAAAAAAGGTTGATTTGGAAAATATAAGAAGACAAATTAACAAAATTGAAATCAACATAAGGAGTTGAACTAAAATAAACTAAATAATCATTGTTTGAAAAAAAATACGAACAACTAAATTTGAATGAAAACAAAAAATATGATAGAGAGACTGAATGATATAGATATGTGTTCTATCATCTAATTAAAAAATAAATCAAAATGATTTAATTATTACCAACGTCAAAATTCATCTCCTTCTCTTATCTTTGTTTCAATTCCTCCATCGTCATTGGTCTTAATACTCCATCTTTATCACAGAAATCCATTTCCATTATAACTCTGACACGAAGAGGAATTATTTCGCTGCGTTCTCCACATTTAAAATTAAAATGCGATTCTCTTTCATTAGTAAACATACAATGATTATTATCAACTCTTTCTTCACGTATTACCTCGACATTATCATCTTTTGCACATTGCATTGATCTCTCTCCTTCTTGTTTTTTTGAATTTGACCATAGGTTTTCCATCGGTTGACGGCTTCTTCTACAACTTCTTCATTGCATACAATTGCTTTGTTTCTAAACATCATGTTTTCTGGTGCTTTAAGTTTTTCCATTACCCGTTGTTCTGGCATAACATTTAAAGTTGACAGGAATACTTTGGCTGATAGTATATCAACATAAACTCTGGGTTTTTTGTCTCTCACCACTATCACGAAACCGGTTCTCCTAAAACTGCTTCCGACTGTTTCAATATCAGATCTTTCATTAACTTCTCTCATTACTTTTTTCATGACACTGGTCATCTTACTTTTCCACTCAGCTCGTTCATTCATCAAACCAGATGAACTAATTGGATCGTCTAGCTGCTTGATCCATTGCTCAAATTGTGGATGTAATT